TAGTAGTAGTAGTAGTCGTAATAGTAGTAGTAGTAGTAGTAGTAGTAGTAGTAGTAGTGGTAGTAGCGGTAGTAGTGGTAGTTGCGGTAGCAGTAGTAGTAGTAGTAGTAGTAGTTGTTGTTGTTGTTGTTGCTGTAATACGCCCGCCAAGCGCAGAGCACGCTCGCGCAGCGTTCAATTGCAAAATTGCTGTTGCTGTTACACCCTGACAGCTAAACCAAGGGTTGCCCGAGGGCTCGTCTGCACCCATTGCCAGGAGATTATACATTGCATGTCCCACTCGCAGAAAGTGATGTATCGACCTACAGCGACTGATGTGAATTTGAGCATGGTACTTGTGCCTACGAAGTTACGAAGCATGGGGAAGCGGAGACTGATCATCTCCGTGTACCTGCTTACTGTATATTGCTTGTTAGATAGTGTGCCGGCCATCGCCGTGCATTGTTTGTAACATCGTTCTTCGCAGTGTTGTCTTGCTTTCTACGAGTGTTGTGCATACTTTGCATTCTGCAGCTTCGATTCGAGTGAAGCTGACTCAGGCTTGAGTTCCTTGGCTTACTTACGCATTGGCGACCCTATGGCAGATACTGGTCCTAGCGACGACTACGAAAGAGCATTCTCAAACTACCCGTTGTTGGTGTTGTTGGTGTTGTTGGTGTTGTTGGTGGTGCTGGTGGTGCTGGTGGTGTTGGTGGTGTTGGTGCTGGTGGTGTTGGGGTGGTGTTGGTGGTGTGTGTTGGTGGTGTTGGTGTTGGTGTTGGTGGTGGTTGGGGTGGTGTTGTTGGTGTTGCTGTTGTTGCTGTTGCTCCTGCAGAGGTGGTGTTGTGGCTGGCTGTCGTTGTGGTAGTTGGTGTTGGTGTGTTGAATAGGGGTAATAGTACTGTTTCTAATTATAAGAGTGAATGACAAGACTAGCATTCACGCATGTGCGCCGCGCACATCCATCGCGCCTTTGCCGATGGAGTTTGATTCAGGTTATGCTTGCGTCTTTACGCTCTCTTCTGCCCAAGACCTGGAACTTTGCCGGCATTACTGCATCAAGCAGCCATAGCAGCCACGAAGGGTTTTGCTGCAAGCCAAGGAATTCCGAGTGCGAGGTCGCATGGACTTGGCTATGGGAAAACATTCAAAAGATGCTGAAGGCGAACATGGGCAGGCCTGCTGTTCAACAGAAGGCCTTGCGCAAGTTTTTCATGAACATCGAAGATCAGCAGTTGGCTGCTTACCGCACTGCGCTCTACACAGCATTCTTCGCAAAGTGTGCGCAGGGCCAGGACTACTTTAAGCAGTCCTCCACCCGGCTTCACTTCATAGCTGACCGAATGCTCATGTACACACAAGATGTCTTCAAAGATCCGAAGGGTGTCATGGAAAGCCTTTCAGCTCTTGGGCTGAGACACGTCGGATATGGCATTCCGACAGAGCTTTTCGGTCCGTTTGTCAGCTCCGCAATTGAATGCTTCCGTGGCATGACGAAGGACGAACACCAGGAGGAAGCTTTTCGATGGTCATTGAATTTGATTTCGCGTGTCCTTGTTCGCACAATCACTGAAGGCTCCACTTTGGTGATGCGAGCCATCAATGCCAACTGTGCCAAGATGCTGCGAAAGGCAGTGAGTTGCGCTCCCCGAGGCTTGCGTGCAGAGTGGATGCTTAGGGTTCAAGTGGGCACCCAGTCCATCTCTCCGCTTCTCTGGTCCATCGAAAGTGGAAGCCTGGAGGCTGCCCAGGCCATTCTCCTGGATCTCCTTACGATCCGTGCAGATCGGGACCATTATTACTATGCCATGGATGCACTTTTCAACAGACATCCGGACATCATCCAGAGAATCGGAGAAGATGGCCCTGAGCTCCTACCCACCTTGCTGGATGGCTTAATCTGGCGGTCCCGGAACACGAGTGATGGCACACGCCGGGTGAATTTCTTCATCAAGTATCTCGTGGTGGATCCCAAGGATGGTTTCTCGCAGTCCTTCCGGGACGTCGTGGCCCATGGCGACCCCACCATAGCATGCCATCCAGCGGTGGTCCTTGCAGCAGATATCTTGTGGTCACATGTGGTGGCTTACACATTTCTGATGAGCAAGCTTTGGTTTCTTCTGAATTTGGTGGTGTTTGTGGTGACGATGGCCATAATCACCGATTATTCAGACTCCGCATCTTCTGTGTCCTTATTGGGCATGTTTATTGGGCGGCTGTTCATTTATGTGTTTGGTTTCGGGCAGCTCGTCCTTCGGCATTTAGTGCGGATAGTTCGTGCCTGCCGAAAGAGGGAGGTGAGACGAGTTTGTTGCTTGCCCATCCCCAGTTACTTGATCCACTTCTCGGAGAGTCTGAGTGGAATGCTGTGCATCTCACTTGGAGGCATGCTTTGCCAAGAACCTGTGCTGCACTGCCTTGGCAAGCGAGCACTCAGCGATGTGCAATTTGCGCAGTTCGGTGGCCAGTGTGCAGAAGCTGCAGCTTTGGTCCCAAGCTATTCCAGCTTCGCATTCGTGGCAACCTTGCTGTACTTTTTGCTGCTTTTGGATCTGACGGTCTTTTCTACCAAGCTTTCCACGTTTGTCCTGGTATGTGGTCGCATGGTGCAAGAAGTCGCCCAATACCTTTTTGCGCTTTCATTCGTGGTCCTCACATTTGCATGTGGTTTGGCATCCTCCGATGTGGCCAACGAGCACTTCTCAGAAGTTCTTCCGGCCATGCTCAGTCTGTCGCGAATCATGCTTGGCATGTTCAGCAGTGAGGAGTTCCAACATTTAGAGGAGGAGCCCAAGCTGCTGCTCTCTGTGAGTGTCTTTGTTATTTGCACAACCATCTTCCTGTTGAACTTGCTTATTGCTCAGCTTAACTGTGCCTACTTTGGCATCTTCAAAGATATGCTGGGCTTTGCAAGGCTCAACAGGGGATCTGTAATCTTGGACAACATTCCACATGTGTCGCCGAAGCGATGGAAGACATTCGTGGATTCATTGAAGATGGATGAGACTCTTGACTTAAGCGGGCTTCTGCATGCCCAGCCACGGGCTGGGCCTGCGTTTGTGGAGTTGTTGTTCTGGTGCCCACTGATTTCCTTGCACGAAGGCTTAGGTTACAAGATCCCTGCAAGAACACAAGATTTTGCGAACGATGCTAGTTGTAGCATGTTGTAGCCACAAGGCTCGGGATTGCTGACCGGGAAGCACGAATAAGTTGGCCGTAAGCTTCACCGCCATGTAATGCACTGAGGAAACTTGAGTTTAGCGAGGGCGACATCGGCATCGCCGGCGGGCTGCAGGTCCTTGAGCCTGCCAGTGCCAACCCGGTCACGACGGACTCCATCAAACGACGCCATGCAAAACACGCGAGCATGACTAGGACTAGAAATCAGATTAGGGTGCCTGCGTGCCTGGAAACCGATAGAGACTCCGTTGATGGCCTTTTCTTTGCAATGCGAAGCAAGTCCTAGACGCAAGTGCCGATGCTTCTCTGTTCCCTAGAGCTTCCAGGCAGGAAATAGTTGCGGCGTGGGGGGACGGACGAGAGTAGGCCAATCTAGCCCGGAAGAAGTTTTCTCCGAGGATACGGTGGATCCACGTCTCGGGAGTGCCAGTGGCCGGAGACAGCCACCGACCTGGACTCTGAAGACAAGATTGATAGACTCGAAAGGGTCATCGATAAGGCGGTGAAGAAGATCATCAAAGGGACGAAAGCCAAGGTGCAAAAACAACATGATGCGAACGTGCAATTGCCTTTGTTCCATGTATGGAGAATGCTCGTGCGTTTCGCATTTGTAGTAACTCGACGCAAACCGTCCTCTTGGACACAGGGGTCCACGATGGGATCTTCGTCCAGCTCAATGACATCATCGTCGATGGGCGATTCTTCACACGAGAACTAAGATTCCAGATTGCAAGTTCTGATGCTGCTTCAGCAATGGGATCAGGTGTAACGACATGTCATGAGAGCGAAGTAGCAAAGTTGCCGCCGTGGTTGCCGTCATTTCCATTTTCAGGGCATGCTGATCGGGGCAGCAATCTCTAGTTCAGTTCGCCCTGCTCTCTGGCTCTTGCTCTTTGACTGTGTATGTACAACTACTGTTAGGTACTCGGGCTAAGTCGGCCACTTTTGTGCAAAGTCGGATTGCGAACACTCTGGCTCTTGCTCGCTCTTTGACTGTGTATGTACAACTACTGTTAGGTACTCGGGCTAAGTCGGCCACTTTTGTGCAAAGTCGGATTGCGAACATGAGCAGCCCGCAAACGTTCCGAACACAGCGTGCACTTGTAGATACTTGCACTTTCTGCCTGTGTCAATGCTCATTTGCCTTAGTTTTCGCGAAGTGTCTTGCGTTGCATTTCGGGTTGTGTCCATTCAAACCCAGCGTGTATCTACATGCATTTTCGGATTGCATGAGTCGACTTCACGCATATGGGTCGACTTCACACGAATCTGGGCGCGACACTGGGGAGAGTTGAGTTCATACTCTGTGTGTTGTCTGTGTATGTGCATGTATATGTGCCAGAGTTATGTAGATGAAGATGTGTCTGTGACCCTGTTTGTATGCATGCATGCATGCATGCATGCATGCATGCATGCATGCATACATGTCAATCTTTCTCGACTATTTTTGACTACGAGCTTGCTATGCCGAATTGCTAAGGGCCCTTTGCCATGTTTGTGCGGATAGACCCTGCATCGTAGGTTCGTCCTACTTGTAGCCGGGCGGGAGGCCACAAACGTTTGTGCGAACGTTTTCTGGCTGAGCCCTGCGCTAAGGCTGCCTGCCTGTGGACATGCCTCACGGCATCGGCACACTGCATCTGCTGCAGTGAGAAGATTTTGACGTCAGCTAGTCCCCGTTCCGACTGCTGACTTTAAGACGTTTCGTAATTTCAATTCTCGCGTCCAAGCGTGCGCTCAAGATACGGTCTTGCTCGCACGAGACTTCGTTTTGTTCTGGTATGTATTGATCAGCTGTGGCACCAGAGTCAGAGCCCGCTTGGGAGACACAAGTTTTTGAATCCATACTTGGGCATTCCTCCTTGGCCACGAAAGGTATCGACCTACGAGCATCTGAAAGCAGGAGATCCCCAAGAAACTTACCGTAGCAGGAACTCGTGTTTGTCCGGGCTGAAAGAGCACGGAAGAGCCACCTGCCTAGGCAGCAAGCTGCTGCTTTTATGGGATTCTGCAGATGTAGCAAACTGGAGCATGGGGCAACGGTGCAGCAGCCGCGGGTTGGTGGTCGGCACAGAGGTGCTGCACCTCTAAAGTTTGAAGCACTGAGCTGAAGAAGGCTCGACAGTGTATCTTGGCAGGTAGCCTCCACTAAAGTGAGGCACCAGCATGTGGCGTCTGGCCCGCCCCGGATGCTGAGGTGTGCATTTGGCACCTGTAAAGCAGGTCCAAGCGCAACCCTCGACTTTCTGCAACTCCCTAAGAGAGCGCGCAGAAGCGGTACAGCATTACCCCGATAACGAAATCACAAGCACTGCGACCAGTCGAAGGGGTTGCGCCATTCGAGCAGCACGTTCGACGACGCGTGCCACTTACTGTATTGATCGTTGATGCGACCAAGGCAGGGGACTAGCAGACTGGGCGTACCCCAGTCGTACGAAGTGTTGGAGGCGCCTGACAGAAGAGTAAGTGTATCTTGGTAGGTCGCGCTTTCGCATGTCCAGTCTGCCCCGAAATGTCTCGTGTGACTGCAGGATCGGAGTCAGTTGTGGCCGGGCCCCCGTCATCCGAACCGCTCGCTGAGCTTGAGCAGAAAACATTCGGCCTAGCTAGAGCTCGTGGAGGTGCAAGACTACATTGAGAGGACGGAGCCCCTCTTGGCGCAGGATCAGTGCCTTTGCTGCACCTATCGCAATCAGGTCCAGCGTGTCCACGCCGCGCAAAAACGAGGCATCAACAGAAACAAGGCCACTTATGGCACCGGTGACATGAGCAGCGACCCCAAGGCTCTTGCAGATGGCCTGAGGAGACAATCTCAAACACTCCGGAGAAGGAGTTATCTGTTTGCTGCTTACTTAGGTCTAGATTTCCGAGACGTCAAGAAGCAGCCTGGAAAACTGGTCTGGAGGCAGTCGTTGAGAACATGCATCTCCTTAACATCTGTGCTTGCATTCCAGGTCTGAGAGAAACTGGAACAAGACGTTCACTTGGCGACTGCTGCTTAGAAGACGTCAGGGCAGGGCCAAGGGCGTACAGGTGGTGTCGGTGTCCTGAGGTCCAATTGCCCCCACAGAGAGACCAGTACTAACTAAGGAGGAGCCTACTCGTCACAGCATGGCCACCAAAGCGGTTTCTGTCCTTTGCAGGATGCTTTTTTAGCGTGATGACAAACACGGCCTTTCGCATTTCGGTGTCTGTCTTGCAGATTTGCTTGGCAAACAGTAGAGCCAGCGGCTTCGCACGAGACGTCCGATCATGAGGCTGGGCTGGTTGGTCCTGAATCCTGACCATCTTGACGAGATCGATCGTCAACCTGTGGTGGGAGAAATCGAGCTTGCAAAGTACTGTACCATGATCCTACTTCAGCGGGAAATGTGACCTTCCTGAGCCGAGTTCATGCTCAAGTGGTTTATGTCTTTTTTCCGCTTTCTTAGTGAATCCGGCAAGTGCAGGCCGTTTGCCACACACATGAGCATGCAACTGGCATCTGCAAGCTAATTCCAGCGGCATCATGCGAGCACAGCTGAGTTGCGCCTAAAGGAGGTCCGCTCAAACTTATTGAGCAAGAAGAAATACCTCTCCGTACGTAGGGCCATTGGCCATCAGCACTAGTGCTAAGCTATGATTCCCAATTGGCTTGTAAGTTTCGGCTTGTGTTCCAGGTTGTCCGTAGCCGGCACGGGAAAACTTTAAGCATCATGTGGTTGGCTGTTGAGCACCATGGCCGTGCTGGCGTCGCTGCCAAAGCTCTCTCCGTCGGCCGCGCCAGCGCAAGGCATTGCCGAAGGTACGCACGATCGTTGATCGTTGACGGTGGCTGTGCCTGCAGGGCATGAGCGCACACCTTCGTCATGGCACAGCGTGCAGCTGCCGGCTTAGAGCAGAGCGTGGAAAGCTGTTAGCATAGCACATGGCAGCTTGTGGCAGCTTGCAGCGTCTGGGCTCAAGCTGGTAGAGGGCCGTCTGTATGTTCTCGCGTCATGTCGCGAGAAGAAGAATCCAGACGGGCAGAGTCGGAGCTGAATAAGCTGCGCAAGTTGCCCGAGAACAAGAAATGTGCCAACTGCTTTGCGCCCGGGGCTCCTGCATTGACTGCCGTTGTGGTTCCCTTCAAGATTTTCGTGTGCAGTAACTGCAAGTCTGCCCACCAGGCCTTCTCACATAGATGCAAGAGCACGCAGATGAGCCTGTGGACCATGGACGAGGTGCGTGCACTGGAAGAGAGAAACGGAGGAGGAAACAAGGTCGCACAGGATACTTTCTTAGCAGGTGTGCGAGATGATGACAGGCCTCGAGAGGGAGATCCTCTTGATAAGTGCAAGGAGTTTGTGAAGAGAGCCTACATAGACAAGATCTGGCTGCAAAGTGCCAGAGCAAGGGAGACGGAGCATGTGGCGAAAACAAGATCGACCGTGCCACCATCCCAATCTCATGATCGTGAGAAGCCTAGCAGTGCAAGGCCCACACCTGCGGTCAGTGTAGACCTCCTTTCAGACTTTGATGGGTCTACCGCACCGACACCATCACCTTCGCTGCAAGGGGGCCAAGCACCCTTTCCAAAGCCATTTGGGGGATTTGACCCAAACGCCAATGCCACCCAGGTTCAGCCAAACAAGACTTCGGGTACAGATTTGCTGGGATTCGACCCTTTCACTTTCACGGCGGAGCACAGCGAGCCCTCCGTGACTACAAGCTCTGCTGCATTCCCGAGCAGTTCTAACCATGAGAGTCCCTCTCCTGCCAGCCAAATGCCTTTCTCATCTGCAGGTGGACAGGGCGGCTGTGGCGGCGGGGTCTGTGGGGGCTTTGGCAGCAGCAGCTCTGTCGGGGGCGGCGGCGGCACTGTTGGCTTTGGCGGCTGCATGGGGGGTTGTGGCGGCGGCTGTGGCTGCAGCGGTGGGTGTGGTGGATCAGGAGTGACCAATGTGCCGGGCAACATGATGCATGCTGGGTTTCCGGCTGGGCCTCAGCAAGGCTTCGTGAACTCCACCGGCTGCGGGGCTTGTGGTGGGTGTGGTGCTTGTGGAAGCGGCCTTGCTGGCTGCGGCAACGGATGTGGTGCCCTTGGTTGTGCAGGCTGTTCTGGTTGCGCTTGCTTTACCGGCCCCGGCTGTGGTTGCAACGGTGTCTCTGGCTGTTGTGGGCACGCCGGCTACACATCTGGGGCTTGCCCACCGTGTGGGAGCTTCGGCGCTGGCTGCCCCCAAGCCAGTGGGCTGCTACCTTCCAACTGTGGATGCGGCTGCCACGTTCAAGGTTGCAACGGCTACAACGGATGCATGTCTCAGAACCCGGGTGCCTGCTGCGGCTGCGGTTGCTGTGGCAGCGTCGGCAGCTGTGCTGGCTGTAGTGGCTTCACCCCGAACATGTCAAATGCAGGAGCCGTTGTGCAAGGATGCAATGGGATGAACGGGTGTCCTGGCGCAAAGCCACAGCCAACCCTAGCCGACCTCAAGGACAATTTGCAGAGGCTGTACGCGGCATGATGAAGCATGAATCTGCAAGAAGTGAGTTGGACCATGGTTGGACAAAGAGAACGGATGCAGAGCGCCTCGGTTTTGGCCCTGTCGGCGATTGTGGCGGGCATCGTCGTGGTGAACAACCGTGTGTCTGTATACAAACGATAGGCCTGCCATAATATGCAGCGGTTTCACAATCTTTTTGCGAAAGCTCCCTAAGTGGAGGTCTTGTGCACTTCTGTGGTCAGGCAAGCCCAGGGGCCAGTTTCCGCAAGCTTTACAGGTTTGGCATAAACAGTTGACTCTGACCCATGTGCTGGAGGTTCTAAATCATTCAAGCCAAACATCGCAGACCACAGATCCCCTAGCGACCTAGTGAAACGAAACGGGCAAGTGCAGCTTTTGGGAACAGCTCTTCAGTGCTCACACAAGGACATCGCAAAGTATTGCAACTTCACAGATTCAGGCCGTCCCCAAATGCTGTAACGTGCCGAGAAACGGATAGAGAATGTTCGCACAAACATCTGCAAAGATGCCGAGCCTGCTGCAAAGTTGTGCGTGCAGTGCCAATCGACGAACACTGCGACCCCACTAATGCAGCAGGTCAAGGCGCCTCGACCTGCTCGGGTGCAGAGCCAAGCTTGCAGTGCGTCTCCGATAACTCCGAAAATCCGGGTCCTCGTATCAAAGCCCGACCTGCCCCTATGAATACCCCCTGATCCACAGAGTCACGTGACATGCGCTTCCTAGTGTCTATTGAGGCAAGTCCCTGGGGGTTTCCC